CATCTTTACGAATGGGCCAGGTCTCGCATCCGTACAACAGTACAGCATGAACAGTTGCACAATAGACCCGCCCTTTGATGGAGAGACGAATATCGTGGCGACGCCACAAATGCCTCAGCCTAGAAAAAGCGAGGCGTGCTTTCGAGATGCGCATCGAAATCTCGTCTCCAACAGCCCCGCCAGCAGTGATGCAACTTCCCAAGTAGACAAAGCTCTCCACAACCTCCAGTGTCTCACCAGCAAGCGTGAGTGCAGGCAGAGGCACCTGCCAGTCTTGAAGGAGAGCCTTGCATTTGGATGGCGAAAAGCACATACCGTACTTTGATGCTTCAATCGTCAAGCGGTTTAATGCAAGTTGGACGACCTGTGGATCGTCACCCAGCAAGACGATATCATCAGCATAGGAACAGGGAACCAGCTGAACTGAGTTTGAAAGTGTTTCTCCCAACGAGCCATACGGCGCTCCCTATTGTGTAGCAGTGCACACGCGCTGTTTTGGATTCTCTCACTGTCTTCCAAGTTAGGGGTTTTAAATAGGATGGCGTCCATTTCTGTAAACGTATATCATCGCCATCTCCCTGCTGCTTTGTAAACAGGGTTTCGAGCCAAAGGCTTTCGGTAAGGACCCTAATCGTCGTCTTGCCTAGGTCTGAGCGCCAGGCAGTATCACAGCACATAAAACCATGACAATTTTCCCAAACCCTAACTACATCATGCATCGGCCGTCGCGGAACTCATCAAGGGTCGCTTTACCTCTTGCATACAACCCGCCGGATAAGCGAAAAGATATTACTGTTGGCGCCATCCTACTTCCTTTACCAACTGTTTCTTCTACTCTCATTCCGACCAACATCATTAAACTTCCTGTTAATTCCCAGCTTAATTGACAGCAACCGAAGTGCCACAGGAGTAGAACCATCTGCAGCCAACACCCACCGGACGCCTATCGGCAACAGATGATTGTCCAGCCACTAACTCTACACTTGTCCCCTGTAACAAGGACACATAGTGTGGAAACGCCACACACACACACACGCACACACAAACACACTGTCGACCATCGTGGGGCCAATCACCTAGCTTGGTCACTCAGACCATCTGGGTTCTAAACCTGTACCCTTATCTGATGTCATGTCATTCATTTGTGGTGTATTAGCCTGATGAGGAACCACTGAAAACGGGCTTGTTCGCTAACATTTGTTCTGATGTCTACTCTCGGGATATTTTATGAGTATTTCCTTAGAGCAACAGGTAGCACTTGATATGTTGCGTTGGCTTGAGCACGTACTACGCATACCTGGTTACCGCTTACCTAGGAGGGCCTTGGCGTGTTTTGCTAGGTGTAGAGTGGCGCAAGGCTCGAGGTGAACAGAAGTTGACTTGGCAGCGGGAAATGAAGTCACTGACGACCTAACTGAGTGCCGTTGCTACATCTCGCCCTCCTGGCTGGAGTCCATGTGACTCGCATTTTGATAGGCTCGAAAGATTACAGGACATGGATCGCAGTCGAAAACAGTGGCGTGTCTGCTGCCGTCTCCTAGTCGGATTGTTTGTTTAAATTGTGTTTGGTGTTGAGTTATCTGTAGATGAATGGCTGATTGTGACACGGGGCAGTGAAAGCCGCAAGAAAGCTGTTTCGCTGATGTCGCCTTATCTTTGCACGACAGCTAGCTGTTTGTGACATTATGTTGTTATCACAAGGTGTAGGCGCCTTAACATTGCATGTTTGCTTAGGGCAATAATGTTTTCAGGTAATATCCACTTCTGTCTCTGCTAGTATGCTTTATTCCACAGGTCATCATGGTTGTATGGCAGTGACGCATGAGTTCAAATGGCAGATGTGCTACTGTTGTTGACGATGGTGATGAATGAATATATGTGACGGGGCTCCAAGAACTGACGCAAGGTGAAAATATAGTCGATGCAGTCTCGACCTCGACGAAACCCGGCTTGCTCTTCATCAAGTCGGCTTTCACGAGTGCCAGTCAGTTTGTAAAGGATGACAGAGGCAGACAATCTGGTAGGGATAGAGAGTAGACAGATACCTATATGGCTGCCGCCTTCCGATCGTGAGTATCCCTTGAAAATTGCGACTATAAATGAGTGGCTCCAATCTGTCGGGACAATCTCCCTATCCCACAGTTTGGCTAGTAGCTCGTGTAAATCATCCACAAGAGCAGGGTGCGAAATTTGAAGAGGGCTTGAGGAAGATCATCTGATCCTGCGGTCTTATTCACCTTCAGCAATCCGACCTCACGTTCGACTTCTGAGCGAAAGGGTGTATCCAAAGGGACAGCCCAGGGAGCAGGACGATCAGTGGCCGACGAGGAATCTGAGTATTCCGACCGATGAAATTGCTTTTAAAGTGCTCAGCCCAACGGTTCAAGCGTTGTGACAACTTGTGGATAGGCTGTTTACTCACGTCATAAATAGGGTCACTAACACCAGATCTCTTGCTGCTCTTTTCTCATTTCAGATGGAATAACCCGATGGTTACCAAGGGCGGCGTTCACTTTCCTCTCTGACGCACGATGAGACCATCAGGATTCGCGGTTCCTTTTCAGACTAGCATGCAGTTTCACCACGAGATCTTTGCGAGTCTCGTTTTATTCGCTTGCAGCCGGAACACATCGGCGAGCATCCAGAAGTTCAAGAGACTGCATAAAGACCCAATATCTAGTTTAGCGATTTAACTTGCCACATGAAGACGTGCCTGATGCTAATAACGTCTGACAGATATGCGACCAGTGGTCTTTAACTATGTTTAGTGTGCGTTTACGCAAGTTAGATACCAGTGTACCTTGATACGCATACAAAACATCTGCGATCGCCAGTTGGCAAATAACTATGCGTGCACAGCACCGTTGCGGAAGTCCATCAAAACGCACCCGAAAAGTCAGCGCAAACAAACGCGTGGACAGTCAACGCTCCTGCTCCAAATCGATCGACAGTTTGGTACGCATCCTCTGTAGCGGTAACCGATCGTAATGTGATAGATTTGCATCCATGGTTAGTGGGCGCCATGTCAGTCTCTGGTGAGTGCTGCGTCAGAAGTTATTGGACGCAAAAAAGAGACGAGCATCTGTACACATGTGTAGCAACCGCGCATCGTTCTCATTACGAGAGCCTACACCTTGTTGATCACCCAGATGAAGTTCATCAGTGGAAAGATTTCGATTGGGGTGCTTAAATCACCAGCAAGTACCACAGTATCAGTGCTTTTTCCGACGCGAAGTAGCGCGTTCAATTGGCGATAGAAGTCGTCTTTCACGCAGTCAGCGCTAAAATTTGCAGGCGCATAAGTTGCAAAGACAAAAAACACCGTTGGTCCCCAAGCAGTTACTATGTTTTGAACGAGCCAGCCAATCTGACAGTGCACATCCGGCTATCCATTGGGATCCAATCTATCAAGGCATATTCAGCCCGTGGCGAAGAGCAATGTCCACACCGGCTTGACCGGTATTTAAAGCCGCTTTATCTCCGGACAAAAACAATGAAAAAACCGCCGATATCGCCCGTTGGAGATCGCAGGGTAATCACAGAACTTGATTTATGCGATCGAGTTTCTGACAAGCAGCAGATATTGATCGATAGGGTCTCCAGTGTTCGGGCAAAGGCTGCCTGTTGGCCAAGCTGCAGCAAAGTGCACATGTTGAGGCATGGCAGTTTTAGGGAGGACTGAGGACCCTAAATAAAAGAAGATGAACTGACGTTGCCCATTTGGCTGGAAATGAACTTACCGACTAGACCAGAGCGACGCCCTGCGGTTGTATGTGAGCCGAAATCAGAAGATAAACGATAACGAAACAAAGATGAGGGGGAGTCAATCATTAGGGGATTGAAAACAAGAGGGATAAAATTGAAGTTGGAATAGGAAGATAAGGATGAAAAAACGCGAAGGAAGAAGAAGACGGGAAGTCTTGGGCAGTAGTATTTAAACCCCTGCTTGGTGCAGCAGATAGGGCGCCTTTTATTATTCTCTGCGGTTGGCAGAGCATCAGGATTATTTGAAGGAAAAGTCATCGTGTTGTACTGCGTGGGCAGGACACTGCCAGGCTGTCCGGGCCTAGATAGAAAAATAATTAGGGTTCTCAACCAAAGCCTTTGGTTCAAAAACCTGACTGCAAGGCAGCGGGGTTTTGACACTGAACTACAGAGAGCCTGTTTCATGGAGTAAAGAACCACCGGCACTCCAACACCCAAGATGGAGGGCCAGGAGACTGAGCTTGTCAAGCCTCTAACCATTGACTAATCTGGTATGAGTGACTCTGAAGGTGCAAAAGCACCATCCAGCATAGCCCAATGAATAGGTGAGGCGCCCAAACTATTGCCCAGCGTTAAGGTCCAGTCTCGTCGTGATGGATTTATCCAAACAAAACCGGGAGCATGGGTACGAAAAAAATGGCGAGTGAAATACTGAGTAACTGCCAACAATTTACATTTTTTGAAGCGGTAAGTGCAATAAAATAGGTTTGTGTATGCGGAGTAGTCACTACCAGAAGAGATGATGATATCGGCGGCCAAGTGATGCATGGAGTTGGGCAGCAACATCAGTTTATGTGTGTTTCCCAGTTAAGGACTTAAATAGGCGCTTTATCATATTGATGTCGTAGTATATAAATGGACAGAACTGCTTAGAAAACAGTAATTTGTCCAATTAATAACAGTGGGGACAAGCAAATAGCAGTTAAATAGGTGAACCAACTGCAGGTCCCGTGATTTAAGTCGAGGTCGTCTAGGAAGTAAAACATAACCCAAGCGGAAGGTGGATTGGAGTTCCAGAGCTCGGAATCAATCAGAAGGTCAGATAAGCCAACTGAGTACAGCTAAATAGAGTTACCGGTGCTCAAATGCAAATGAAACAGAGACCTGTTAAACGATGAATTCACAGATTCATACGAGCCTCTTAGCATTGTATATCAAAACCCGTGAAATGAGGCCATACTATGTAGAAGTAAAACAACCAATAAGAAACGATAATGAGAAAAACATGGACTAACTCTGCTTCAAATTGATTGGGCAAAATGACGTCAGCCAGAGGAAGGATTTTCTGTTGATATACAGGGATAAGCTCGGCGGGAACGTACTGTGAGACAAGGGCAAAAGAAATAAGCGCTCGCTTCGCACGGTGCGACAATGCGAATATGTTGTACAGGAAAAAATTAAGAAATTGTTGCATTTTCATGATTGCTCGCAAAATTTAGATACCGATATTCACGCCCGATGCCATACAACGGGGGTGTGTCAAAAAAGCAGATGAATAGGAATGAAATGAAATTCCGTGTGGAAAATGGACTACAAGAAAAAGGGGTCCTGATAACTTCACTTTGGAGTGTGTGTGTGTACACCAGAAAAAACAACGACAAAAACAGCACATCAATTGTTTGAGCTGATGCTTCGCTTCTGCACAACTGCAATGACCTGTGGATGGAACGGTAATGAGCGGCAGCGAACGGAGACTTAGCGTAAAACGCCTTAGGCCAACTCCAGTGTCAAGGCGTCAACAACTTATCAACAATATACAGTCAGAAACAGCTAGCTAAGGTGTAAAGATAAGACGGCACCGGCGAGACAGCTTCCTTGCGATGTTCACTGTTCTGCGTCACAATCAGCCATTACACCGCAGATAACTCAGCACCACACTGCAAACAATCGGTCCGACTAAGGAATGACAAGAAACGCGCCACCGATCCTGATTGGGAGTAATGTCCTGTAACATCTCGAGTCAACAACAAGGTGGGTCGTGAAGATTCAAATCTGGAAGGTGGGGGTGAATCAAAATCACCCAGTTTTGTCATCAGTGACTTCATCTCCAGCTACCAAGGAAACTGTTGGGCATCTGGAGCCTCGCAAAAAAAACAAGACCCTCCTCACAAGCGGTGATCGGGCATTCGTAGTACATATCTAAGCCTATGTAACATATTCACTGTTATCGACCGGTTTGCCGTACGACCACCTCTGGGTGAGAGCTGGGTGATTCGAGTTTAACCCGTTTCAGAGAAGTGCTCGGCGGCAGCGGGTCTTCGCCTGGTAAGCGTTCTAACTACAAATAGCCACAAATATCTGTTTAACAACACTGTGACGTGGCAGATGTGATTCGCCACTAAGTAAAGTGACTTCCCGTTGCTCCACCTCGGTGGGCATTGTACTCCATCAAATGTGCTGATATCATGGGGAGGACGGGGCCCTTGTTTGATAACCGACCAAACGAAAGACGTATGAACTGAATATTCAGTCACCGACTCCAATGGGCCCGATTCCCTGAATTCACCTCGCTGCCTTACGGGCAGGTTATTTAGCCAAAGGCTCGGGGTGGTGTCCTCTAAGACAACTCCCTACTTCTGCTTGGGCAACCGGATAGTATCTCGCCTTCTGACGAAACCATGGACTTTGATGTGTTGTGTTTTCTTTTACTATTTCTGTACCTTCTTTTGAGTCCCATGGTTTCTGATGGCTCTATGTCTATTCGCAGACCGTTGCATATATATATATATATATATATATATATATATATATATATATATATATATATATATCCTCTGGAACCGCCACCAATTTTCCGGCACGACATTGACTGGAGTCGAATTCATGGGTACAAACTAACTTGCTAATGAGCGTGCAGAATCGCTAAGATGACACCGCAGCACGCCTGCATGTATGTGCAGAGATCACTCTGCATGTGTATCACTTCCCCGAGAACGTAAATTGGATGAGCTCATGACATGAACGATAGTGCTTCGAAGTAGTTTAAGATAGCCTTAAAAGTTGGCAACCAACACTTCGGTATGTCGTACCGGGCACTGTGAATTTTTGCCTAGCCAATTGTTGCGTGCGCTCTGAAGTCCAACATATCAGCCAAGCCTTGTAAACTTGGTTGAAGCATGAAATCGCAGTATTTGCGAAGCAACAACTCTAGGCAAATAGGAATGTCAAGGGTCTGCGCAACCTTCCGTACCACGAAAGCTAAAAATACTGGGTGTTTGCCGTGGGCGCTACCGACGGTTGGGTGATGGACTCACGTGGATATAGGAAATACAGTGTAATCTTAATCACATATACCGCCGTCTGTTGAAGCCAAGCAATAACACCAGTATCATAGGTATCCATTTGGAACTGCTATTCACATGTTCACACGCCACCTGTCCAGTTGTTACCAAGCTCTGTTATCAGGTACTAGCTGATTTCTGTTTCCATGATTCGATTCCCGATGCTTTCGTCGACGCCCTCAGAGTTCGTCCAGTGGCCCTCCTTCGGCCTCGGTTCTCGTTTCATCTGGCATGCTTCAGTGTACGTACAGCGAAGCAGATCGGGCAGCAGGCTAGTTTTGCGCGCAGCTTGGAATCCTTCGCCATCGATATTTACTGTTTTTTTCGAAACGCGCTTGCAAGATCCCAGTATTGTGATTCAGTTGATATCTCCCACTGACCACGGAGCCATAGTTCACCTACGACTATCTGGTGACAAAGAAGCAGCTGTGGCAGGTTTGGCTGGTGTTGGTGTAGCACTAAGTAGCAAAACCGAGGCCGAACAGTTGGACTGGTTCCCGATTAACAGTCGACGGTGTGCAGTTAGGCTTCGGGGATCATGCAGGATCCACAGATTTCGTGTGGAGAGACGCAACTTGTTTGCAGACTCGGCTTACGCCTCAAATGACTGCAGTCCTGACTCGGTCAAGGACGATTGCTAACTTGGACTTCCCCAGCTGTTGGACAAAGATTGCAAATCCTATAGTGTTGTTCTTGCTGAGGATCTCAACGCATGAACCGGTCGTCTATTGTCAAGCGAAAATCACCTCGGTGGTCACCATGTGCTCAACGAGAGCCGTTCAGATAATGGAGTGATACTTCTCACACTGTGAAAAGACTCGTTTGTTTCCCCCGAGTACCAGCTTTCGGCATTCGAACAGACGTTCCGCTACTTGGCGACCCCCTTTTGCGTCTCAATCATGGTCTCATATTGAGCATATCGCAATCAGTTTCGGAAGGCAGGGTAGTGTAAAGGATTGTAGAGCCACTTGGTCCACTTTTCTTGACTCATACTATGCTTATGTCTGTGCGAACATCTGCATGAGTTTCGGAGGGTCAGCGAAAACGAAGCACTGTAAGTTAGCCACAAATAAACTATTTACTCTTTCAGTTTAACAGAGCTATCAATCTTCCCTGGCCGGTGCACTCGGCTGTGACCCACGGCAAGACATTGGTGAACACTGGATGTTCATGCAGAGGATCATGATCCCTTCTAGACAGTTAGTACGTAGTCTTTCTCATAACTTTATGAAGGCCTGGATCCCCATGCGCACTTTAGATCTAGTTGACCGTCGCAGAAATATCCCTGCGGAGTCTACTCATGATGAAGTACGCAATTCTCTCAGTCGGCAGCTTAAACAAAGCCTACGCAGTGATCGTAAAGCCTGGTAGTCTCAGCGTGCTACAGAAATGGAGGCGGCCGCCCTTTGGCAATACTCACAAGCTCTTCCAGCTCATTCGGTACACTGGCCAAAGAAAGCCTGGTGTCGGTGAGACTATTTGCGAAACGGATGGTTAGCTGATTATCAACCTACAGAGATGCTTACATCAATGGGCCGAGCATTTTCATTCCCAGTTCAATTGACCCTCACCGTCCACTTGTATGCCCTACGAACCCAGTTGCACGCATGGGTCGTCACCCTTGATCCACCCAGCGAAGCGGAAGTTTGTCTCGCGATTCGACACTTGAAACGATTCAAGGCTGTTGCTTCAGGCGGACTTCCTTCGGATCCGTTCAAGTATAGAGGCGCAGTTATCATTGACCAGCTAACCTCATTGTTCTCCAAAATCTGGCATGAAGAAAAGGTGCCTTCTTCCTGCGGCGAGTCAGGTATTGTCCTGAGTTTTAGGAAGGGTGCTCGCACTTCATGCACCAATCGCCGGGAGATTAGTCACATTCCGGTTGTCTCTAAACTATTCTCATCCATTCTATTCAGTAGACTGTTTCCCATTCGTGAATCGCAGTACCGCAAACAACGAGCTAACATCCGACCTGGCCGCAGGTGCGTGAATCAAATATTCAGGATCGTCCAAATGCTCGAGCATCGCCATCTGTACCAGAGACATACCACTGTTGCATTCTTAGAAATCCGTGTTGCGTTCTATTCGGTTGATGGACCTGCGCTACGGCGTTGTTTGCTAAAGAACGGAGTCCCAGAGAAGTACACAGCCATGCTACGCGCACTCTACCTCCACATCTCCGGTAGAGTGGGGGTCTATGGCTAGCTTTCGTCGTCCTTCGCTGTCAAAAGCGGTGTACGACAGGGCTGCCTATGTCCCCATTCCTCTTCAATTATGCGATTGAAGACCTCCTATCGAGAGCTCCAGCTTACGAAAATTTCGGTCTACAGCTACTAACAAGGAAGCGAGCTACCAACTTGAATTATGCCGATGAGATGGACTTACTTGGTGACGACTCACAGAGCATGTAAACCATTCTAAACCGTTCGCGAATTGAGGCAGCAAAGTACCCAATGTGCTTCGCCCCGTCCAAGTGTAAAGTGCCGCTTCAGGAATGGCACTCCCCCGTTTCCGTACTCACAAGAGAAAGTACAGAGCTTGAACAAGTGGATAGCTTTGTCTACCCAGGCAGCTGTCTGCTAGTGATACCAATGGAAAGGAAATTGCTCTTCATTCGGTCGGAGTTTGTCAACTTGAAACACTTGTGGCGTCGTCGGGATGTCTCACACTTGGTAAAGGGTCGTGTTTACAATGCCCCTGTTCGAGTGGTGTTGCTATATGTAAGCGGGTCATGGCCAGTTCGAATAGGCGACATGCGCCTACTCTCGGCTTTCGACAATGGGTGCTTGGGAAGGATTGCTCATGTGCTGTGGCAACAACAATATGATTTTACTGCGCCAGTTAAAATGGCTCGGCCACGTCCTGAGCATGTCAGCTGAGCGTTGGCTACATCACGTCATATTCTCTCGTGCAGGACTTGGCTGGAAGAGTCCGTGTGGCGGTCAGCTCTCCACGTGGCGATAACATATGAAATCGTTGACTTCACGTCAACCGTTAGATCTACACTTCTGCTTGGTTGGGGACGAAATGACAAAGAGTG